TAAAGTGGAGGTACGGGGATACACCTCAGGGGTAAGTAGATTGAAGTGCACCATTCTTACCTGAAGTACCCTTAGATATGTGTGTAGATATGGGAAAAGGAAGACATTGATTGAAGAGGTGTGGGCTGATGAGTAGAAGAGATCTGCTTATGAGCTACATATTGAATTTGATGCAGTTGTGGGAGTGAAAACATGTGGCCTAAAAATATGGCAGAATGGAATGTGAATCCTCAGGAATAAGTGGAGGGGATGCCTTGGCTTATGAGCTTTTTTTGCTTTGGCAGGTATTTATTGTAATTCTGGGCATCAAAATAATGTCAGAACAGGCAGTTTAAAAGCTCCAGTGTCATATGGGAATATAACCCTGACTGCTACCTCTGCAGTTGAGATTAAGTGAGACAGAAATAAAGTTGCCACTTCCTATTTCAGAAACACTTTATGGAGAGGCAAGTGGAAGCATGGGATAACAATTCAATGAGTGCCTGTTAGTGTCACATTAAGATGCAGAAATGATCAGACGGTATACATGGGATGAGAGAGTTCCTTCCCTTGGGATACTACTAAAAAAAGAAAAAAAAAAGCCCCTTCTTTGCAATTTATACAACCTCACAAATAAAGGAAACACAGATTACTAATTTTTTTTTTTTTCTTTTAGGTTTTTGCTGGAGAGACAGAAAGAGGGGGATGGCCACACCACAATCCCTTCTCTTCCATTCCCTTTTCGGTATTTTGGGCACGCATGCACACATGCCAGGGGGGATTTTCAAGCCTCCAGTCTGGGACTAGAACCATGGCTAGCCATGTGGGAGTGTAGCACATTAATCACCATACTACCTGTTGGCCCCAGATTTCTAATGATTTTGTTTTCAAAAAAGCTACCCTGTTTTAGAATAATTTCTAATATATACAAATATCACCTGATTATTGGGCAATAGTCACTTATATTTACTGCTTGAAAGTTTGCAGATTTGGGGACCAGCAGTTGGCATAATGGCTATGTCGCTGGACTCCCATGTAGTTGACGACAGTTTAAGTCCCGGACCCAGTGGCTTAAACTCACACTGGGTGCATGTGCGTGCATGCCCAAGATCCGGAGAGGAGAATGGAGGAGAAGGGATTGTGGCGTGGCCATCCCCCCTAGAGGGGTGATTTCTCCCTTTTTGTCTCTCTGTCTCGCTCTGTCTTTCTGGCAAATGCATGCGCCCTATAGCAAAAACTTCTCCAAAAAAAAAAAGTTTGCAGATTTCAATGATATTTTAGATGCATTATTAAAACGAGGCTGTGCCCAGCTTATTGATTTCTCTTTTTCTTTTATTTTTAAAAGCTTTTGTCAGAGGGCACATGCAGTCTCTGGAAAGAGACAGAGTGTGACAGAGGAAAGTAAACAAAGCCCCCTCCTCACACCCCATGGTGAATGGTCATCCTATAATCCTTTCTCCTTCATTTTCCCCTCCGTTTGAGATTTTGGGCATGCACACATGGTGCACACCATGTTTCTCAAGCTTCCCAATCTGAGCCTCTAACTGCGCAGTATGTCACGTGGGATCCAGCTGCATTAACCACCATACCACTGGCTGGCCTGCCATGCTGCTTCTAAATGCAACTTCTCTGCCATAAGGTGAGTTTATTTAAATAAGAGTAGGTTAGAACAGTTAAGCATATCTTAGCCTTCTTGACCGGAAATCACACTCCTGGAAGGTCGATTTTTTTTTTTTTTTCTGCATAGTATTCTCTCACAGTTCCCAGCATATGTAGTGCCTTGTATATTACATGGGCTTAAACACTTTTTTTCTTCTTATTAAGAAAAGCAAATTTACTGATTGACCATGGGTAGTAGGTGCTTAATCAATGCTTATTTATTTATTTATTTTTGGGGAAGTTTTTGCTATAGGGCGTGTGCACTCACTAGAAAGACAGAGACAGAGTGACGGAAGGTGAGAAATCACTCTCCGGGGGGGATGGTCACGCCGCAATCCCTTCTCCTCCATTCTCCTCTCACAATCTCGTGCACACATGCACACGCACTCAGCGTGAGTTTAAGCTGCCAGGTCCAAGACTAGAACCATGATGGACTACGTGGGAGTCCAAACACATAGCCATTACACCAACTGCTGGTCCCATCAATGGTTATTGAGGTAAATCTTTTGACACACAGACATTTTTTTTTTTTCTGTTACTCTAAATGTACTGAAAGAACAAATCATTTACCTACTGAAAAACCTTCCTTTAACTGCCTGTAATATGTAAGACCTCTAATCGTTGCCATGGCACAGAGGGTCCTGTGTATTTGACACTGGTCCCCTCAGTCTGGTCTCTGTAAAGGCATTCTTGACTTTAAAAACTAAGCTATTTTCTTTATGTATGAGAGGATGAATGCATTGTGCATGTGACAGTGAGACAGAGGGAGAAACATGAGTACCCACTACGAAGTCTCCTGAATCTATGGCCCACTCTTAGTCCCCTAGTCCACTGGGTCTTGGGCATGCAGTGTTCCCTGAGTGTTTCAGGCTGACTGAGGTGGGGATTCCAACCATGGATTCTGTGTGGGTTCTGGCTTTGGAGCAGCACTTTACCGCTGCTCTGTGGAGCTGGGGCATCCTGGGCTTTTGACCATCTACCTGCCTGCTGGCCTGGATGGCTGACTGCTCTTACCAGACAACTCCTGTGCCTCCAACAGGCTCCCCAACACGTCCTCTTGGCAGAGACTGTATTGTTCATCTCTTTATGACCCGGCAGCTGCTCAGTTATAATGGGTGATTAGTAAATATCTTTCGAGTTGAATGAATATGTCCTCAAGACTGGAAATTCTTTACATAATGCTAATGTAAAGTATTATTAATACTGATATATGAAAAATACGAAGATTAATATATTAGTCATTTGAGATCACTTGACATTTCTGATCCTTCCAAGGAGGATATCTTTAACATTTTGAGAGAGTAATGTTACTTTGAGGGCCTATGAGGCTTTGAGGGCCTGTGAGGCTTCCATGACTTGCCTATTACTTGCCAGTAGCATCTGAGTAAAGTGCAAATAAAATCATTAAAAAGTTCCTTGCAGTTGGCAAAACGGTGATTCAATTGGATGGGGTCATTACATTCTGAATTCAACTTTTTCTTAAAGTGCAATAATAAGTGCGTAGAGTGGTTGTGTGTCTGAGTACATCTCTGCAATTGCTAGTGGAGTGACTGGATTTTGTTTGAGGCTGATGGGTCACCAATTTAAGCAGGGGGATTTTTCAGTTTTAATGACCTCACAATCTAGGCACTGTGATTGAGATTATTTCCTGCAATTGTTTTCTAGAGAATTATTTATAAAATTCAGATTATACATTGAAGCAATTTGTGCTTATGTGTGCAGTAAATTAGCTGAACTAAAACTAGATAACAATAAGAAAATTGTCCAGGAAACCTAGTACTTTGGAACTAAAAAGAACAAAGAAACAAAAAAGAATGAATTGGTTGCAAGATTTGAGCTAAATGGGTACTTTAAAAATAACACAACATAGTTGACATTTATTTTTCTCCAACATAATCTTCCTGATTATATTATTTTTGCCAGAAGAAGATATATGATCTTCTAAATATAGATATCTTCTGATAAATCTCAAGAAAACTTGAGGAAGCAATGATGGCAGTTTAGCGTGAATTTGATTTGTATGAAATTGTGTCATTCAAACAGAAATTGTAATTCTCTCTTTGACGCCAGTTCAGCAAGCTCAGAAATTAGCAAAATGAAAGAAAGTGAATGGTCAGAGTGGTATTGTCCATTTGTTCTAGAACACAAAGAAGACTGGGGGCAGATGGATTGAAACAAACCTAATTCAGTATACAGAGCAGTTAAGTGACTGGCCCTGAACCCTAGAGGTTAAGGGGAGCTGGATCACAAATGGCCACCATGGTCTGTGTCCTGGACTCGGCAGCTTAAAAAACATGTCTATATCCACACAGGGTGGAAAAACGGACCAGTCCTCATGGTTGGGAGGTGGTGCTTTCTCTCCCTCTTTCTGTCTCTCTCTGGAGAGCACAAGCACCCTCTGGCAATAAAAATAAAAGTTTAAGAGAGAGTAATTAAGAAACAAGAGGCTAAAGTAAAAAATATATTTTTAGCTGAAAGAAATTTGAGGTTAAATTTAACATCTGTGATGTATATGAAATTATCTTCTTACCATGCTTTCTTTCATTCAATTAATAATTATTGCTGATGAGATGGGAGTAATGTTTAAGCTGAGCACAGTGTTCCCACAAAAATGTATAAATAAACATAGTGCCATACCTCGAAGACCTCTTTTTTTTTTTTTTTTTGGAGAGGTTTTTGCTATAGGGCGCATGCACTCACCAGACAGACAGAGAGAGACAGAGAGACAGAAAGCGAGAAATCACCCCCCAGGGGAGAGGGCCATGCCGCAATCCCTTCTCCTCTGTTCTCCTCTTGGGATCTTGGGCATGCATGCACATGTGCCCGGTGTGAGTTTTAAGCCACTGGGTCCGGGACACGAACTGCAGTCGACTACCTGGGAGTCCAGCGACATAGCCATTGCGCTAACTGCTGGTCCTCCTCAAAGACCTCTTAAAGCTGGGAAGGTGGGGTCAGCAGATGGCATGGTGGTTAAGGCAGCTGGATTCCCATATGGGTGACCATGGTTCAAGTCTCAGACCTGGTAGCTTGGTTACTCACTTTCTTTCTCTCTCTCTGTCTCTCTCTCATAAACTTCAATAAAATAAAAAAAATAATGATGACAATGAATAAATTAAAAAAAAAAAGCTGGGAAGGTAAGACAAGATGAACGAGCTCCATGGACTAGTTAATAACTAACATTTGCACAGCACTCAAAAGTTTTGAAAGTATTTTTACATACCATTTTGTGAGCGTAAAAATAAATGCCTAGATTTCATTCTCCACTTGGACCTTTGTTTGGCTTTGTCTTTGGAAGTGATCATTAATGCCAGGATTGCGATTATGTCTTAGCTTTCCTTCATTTTTCCCAGTCTTTCTTACAGATCCTGTTCGCTGATCCTTCCAGTTATTATGATCCAACATCTCAATGTCACATCAATGATGTAAGGTTCTCTGAATTCGTAAAATAAATGTGCTTAATTTAATTTTTAAGCCTCTAAAATATATGGTTTATTATGGTGATAATGCAGATTTGGAATTTTTTAGGAAAGACTTGAATTTAAATGTCTTATCATGTTGTCCGTTCACGTGATTTGACTTCTGGTTTAGAAAACATGGTCACCTTATCTGTGTGTGGTCTTATCATTTAGTTGATAGAACACTAAGCCTGAATTTTGTTATATATATCCTGAATATACACTTAATATATATATATCTTGTTACACATTTTCTGAAATTATACTTTTAAAGGTGCTCTTATTGTCAAACCTAACAATCCTTTTTTTTTTCTTTTTCTCCTTTTGTTTTCCTTAACCTCTCTTCAATTGTATTTATTGTCTTTTATTCTTTAAATATCTAGGATTCTACAGACCTAGGAATTTAGGTCTCTTCTAATACAAACATAGTTTTGTTTCCTTTCATAAATCTTCTGCTTCTTATAGCCTCATTTTTCCAGGTCTTAAATAATCTACTTTTTATGGGCTACTTGAGTCATATAGATTTCTTTTTTAAAAATTATTTATTCTATTTTTCTCTTTTAGTTTCTACTATAGGGCATATGCAATTGCAGGGAGAGAAAAAAGAGGGAAAGAAAGAAATCAACCTGAGTTTAGAGGATAGGAGGTGGCCATATGGCAATCCCTTCTGTGTTGGGATTTTTGGGCATACAATGCACACATGCCCAGTGTGATTTTCAAACCACTGGTTTGGGACTCACACCCTGTTTTCAGCCATGTGGAATCCTGCTGCCTTAACCTCCATGCCAACTGCTGACCCTATACAGATTCCTTAAAGGCCCAGGAATAATCTGTTTGCATACCCATCTTCACTGCTTACTTCTAGAACCCCACCAGACCAAATTACTGCTTCCTTAGAAGATTTAGTTCAATTTATTCTACCTATAGCTTACTTTGCCCATAAAAAAAAATTTTCTTTAAAATTTCACAAGTATTTGGTTTTCTCTACTTCATATTATGTATTCATATCTCCCTTTATAGTTAGAATACGAAGTCCCTGAGGATAAGGGTTGCACTTCCGCCTCTTTTTTGGTTTGCTTGGCAGGGGACAATGAACACAGACTCAATATTTGTTGACTAAAAAAAGGCACATGTCTCATGATTCCAAAATAATACAGCCAACACCCTGTGAAGGTGTGCACACCTTTTTCTTTTTCCTTTTAGGATTCTGCTTGTGGCATTGACAGTTCTTGTTATAAAATTACCATATGCAATCTTACTAGAAGATACAGAAAGATTCAAAGATTGCAAAAGCAGGCCTATAGGAGGTAGTCAGGATGGATATTTACAACGTTAGTACAATGTGTCATACACTGTGCTCTGCACTGTAAAGATTTCTTTCAACAGACTCAAGAAACTGAAGTCCAGCCAGGTTAGTTAATTTACTCAAGGTCCCACAAAAATCAAATGGCTGTGCTGAGTTTTAGAAAGGCAAGGCGGTTTCAGTGCTGGATAACTTTAAGAATTAGATGACATAATTTCTTGAAAAAGGACTAGGCAGAAGGGTTGGCATGCAACAAATTTTGTTCACATATCTGCCTAGGAATTGGGTCTGCTTAAACAGGAGGAAAAAAGTGGTAGAATAATACTTGTTGCTAACTCTAAGAAAAGGCTCCGTTTGATTAGTTACCTACGCTCCTCTTCATATTGACATTGGAAATTATATCTGCCAATATTTCAAATCCCGATGCCTACTTTTTCCCCTGAATAGATAACAAGTGAAATTACACTTTCAGGAGATACAGTATTAAGATAGTTGTCTTGAGCCAACAAGAAACTAAAGCAGCCCGATAATTTATTTTTGTAAAACATAATTTATTTCGCGCCTAGGTTTCCCCCGCGCCAAATCAAACGCTCCTGCTCCGTAAAGCACTCTGCAAGGTAGGTTTCGGGTCCCGGTAGGGCTACTCTTGAAGGTGGAAATCAACCGCGGTCTCTCTCTCGCTCAGTTTCTTTTTAGAACCCCCAGAGACTGCTTCTCTGCAAAAAAGTAACACCGCGTCCCCGCCGCGAAAAGTAGGGCAAGCCAGGCTCACTCTGCCTGTCAGCAAAACCCTTTGTTATCCATCTGAGACGATAGACCACACAGAACTCCGGTCCCAGCTGTCCTGAACCTCGGGAGGAAGCCCGGCTGCAGCTTCACCAGACTCGTTCCACATCCGCTCGCCGCACCTGGACGCCCGCGGCGCGCGACCCCCGGCCGTGACGTCATCGCACCTGGCACCAGGGGCGGGGGCCGCGAGGAGAGTGGGGGCGGACCAGGGAGAACAAGGGCGTTCTCGCGAGACTTGCTTCCTCCCGGCCGCGCTCCCGCACCTTCCCGGCCTCTGTTCGGGTCTCCACCTCAATCGTCGCCGTCGCGTTCTACGACGGCGGGTGCAGAGGGAGCGGCGAGGGCCGGGCTCCGAGGCTGGGTGGGCGCTCGGGGTTGGAGCCCGCGGCCTGGGCCCACCGGCGCGTCCCACCCCCTTGTGGGAGCGCCTTG